CATCAGCAATCTAGCTAAGGAGGGTTTATACTATAAACAATTTTTAATCAATGAAACTACAAAGTAAATTGCGGAAGAGATTCCATTATTCTAAGCTTAGGGGATTGTGAATGTAAGTCCCGATGCCAACTAATGACAGAGAAGAGAAAAAAAGAAGAATATGCAATTTGCAGTTTCTCCTTCGCCTTCAAGGTGCCATTGTAAGAGATAGATATATAAGCCAACAAGGGCTTGCCCAGTGATTGTGGTATGTCATCAAAACCTTGAGCTCCCAAGAGATCTCAAATTCAAACCCCGTTAGAAACACTTTAAGTGTTGTCTATGCAGGCTTACAATTAGGAAGCCAGAAGCAGTTTCGGAGGTCAGTTTGTAGCCTACAAAGGCGCGTAATAGAAACGTGCACGCGTGGAGTTTCTCTTTAGTAGTAGTATCCCCTTTCCCCAGTAAATTCTACAAATATAATAGCCTAAGATACCTATAATAGTATAGATATATATATATATATATATATATATTTCTTCTTAAAATTGGATGGTCCCAGCGAGAATCCAACCTTCATCCTCCTGATAATAATCATCATTCATCTTAATCCCCTAACGATCTCACCCAACCCTCCCACCCCGACCTCTTAATAATAATTATCATTCATCCTAATCCCCTAACTACCTCACCCAACCCTTCCACCCCGATATATATATATATATATATATATATATATATACTAATTAGAGAACTTGCATATACCTTGACCAACTATTTCTTTTTAACATTTTCCTTTTTTTTCTTCAAGTATTTGTTAATAGGGTTAACTACACTACTCGATATATTGATTTCTAAACAAAAGTATAGTACTCTTTCCGTCCCATAATTACTTATCAGTTTGGGTTTTCATTTCTAGTTCAAATTATACTAAAAGTGTAATCTCAAATGGACAATAATTTTAGGACGGAGAGAGTAATAAGTTTTTTGTGTGTGTTTTGGGTACGATTAATGGATTGTGGTACGTTTTTGTACCATTCTTCCTAGAAAATTCATCATTTTGCACAAGTTTTCTAGGTCAAGTTCAGACATAAGGCTTCAAAACTTTTGTCCAACACAATTATTTCTTCCAAAATGCTGTCCTTCGATGTTGTTTGAGGTGAGGGGACGTGTGGATGTTGTTAGGGTTCGTATGTAGGTATTGAATTTACATAGGTTATAGGTTATTGAATGTCATATGAAACAGTTAATTCAAGTAATGTGGTTCAAACTTTATTGGATTAAACTTGCACTTGTTTCTTCCTAGATTAAATTCCAGCATGGTTATTAGATAGCTTGTTTGTTATTAATCCCTCCTTTTTTTTTTAATGAAAGAATTTCATTATTTGTTTTCATTTTGTTGGGGTTTTATTTGGGAAAATTTTTGTAATAATGTTTTAAAGGTTTACAATAACTTGGTCATGTATAAAAAATATAATTCAATAATTTAGAACCATATCATCAAATTGTGACACAATTCTCCCCCCCTAGACTGTTGAGTACAATAAATGAGACAAAAGACTAAAAATATACATATTTATACATTTCAATTTTCATGGATGGTATATTGTTATGTTCCAACCACGATACGAAGATGATAGGTCATCTAATTACTGCAAGAATTTTGAAAAGTAACAACTAAAAATGTCACAAAATCTACTGTTTAATTAAAATGATGTATCTTTAATTCTTCATCTCAGTAACTCAATGTCACCGCAACAAATCCCGTATTCTCCAAACCAAAAACTTTCATGAACTCGGAGAGCTTCCTCTGAATTTGTGATCATAACCACCACATCTTAATTTGTCAATTTTTCAAATCTCATGTACAAGTTAAAGTTCTAGAAATGAAATCCAAAGTTCAACCTTAGTAGTTAGGAATCAAGGAATATTGATTACAGACTCACAAAACCACCACACCCGTAATGATCACAATTATTTCAAAGAATTAATATATCAGCTCCATCTATTTAACCAAACTTTGAGGCTCCAAAGTACGTGGACGTAGTAGTTACACAACACAGAAAATACACACGTGTACAAAGTACAAAAAAACTCGTCATTTTCTCTTACACGTCTCGTCTGTCTTTCTTTTGTTAACCATATCTCTTTTACTTTTTAAGTCTTTACCAAAAGTAAAATTATTATTATACATATTAAAAGCTTACATTAGTAATTAAGCTAAATAAGAAAAGGTCGGTTAGGTCCGGTCAACTTGATCTGAAAAACCTATCTAATCTTTTTATTTATTTTTATTATTATTTTTTTTTTAACTTTATGGTGTTGGCCTCATCAGTGTGCCTTGCAATAATTTCTTGGAAAATGAAGCCAAATCTCTGCAGAAAGCTTAAAAGCAAAACACAGTCAAACCAAACATAATACTAGAATCCCAAGTGCTTAATAAGGCTGGCAATTTGACTACTACCTGCAAAGGATTAATGTGTTTTCATTTTGTTGCATGCAAATTCAATGATTTGCCAGCACATTTATATGAAAAATTCCCAACTCTGAAAGAAAAGACCAAAATGATGTGATCCCAATTAGGGGTATTTTGTTCAGATTTTTATGATTTTTTTTTTCTTTTTAGATCACAATATTTAATCAAGCTTTTAGATTCAGAAAGCCTGAAAACCACATGCAGTTGTAGTACATATTCTTCTAGTATTGAAATACATCATCGCTAATCCTTTTTCACACATGCCAAACCAATTCCAAATCTTACCTCTGCAAGTCGGTTGCTCCTTACCTCTATATTTTCTCCGTTTCTATAATTCTATAAGACAGAGAGAGTACCATTTGTTTGTGTTTGTACTTTTTGTGTGTAGGTTTTTTTCTTCTAAAAGTTCATAATACAAATCAATAACGAAATAAAAGAAATAGAATGATAACCTTTGAATAACCTTCTAAAAGTTCTTAATACGAATCTCTCACATTTCTGACAAATTAGTAAACCTTTGAATTTATGTCACACATACTGTGAATCTTTGTTTTAAGTGATGTATTTACAATAACTAGCTAGATGGTGAAATCCAGATGAAGATCAAACAAGAAGATGTAGGTGGTGGGAACATGAGGTTTTTTTTGACATTTTGTAAACCAGATTAATTCAGCAAAAAATTTGAATAATTAAAAGTTTGGCATACAAGATTTCAGTCAAGATGTAATGTAGACAGATTATATATGAAGCTGTATACAGTCAGAATATGTCTAAAATCCAAGGTGTATTAAAGAGGTCTCTGAAACTGCCTGCTATCATTGAATAAACTCTCTACTCGACAACTTTTCTTATTTTTATTTTTCTTTTTTCTTCTTTTTTTTTTGGAGTAATAATTTGTAATAGGCCGGGAGAGGTCCAGTTAATAAATTCATGGCAATTGCTGATCAGCACAGGCGGCATAATAATCATCAAAGTCAGTGAAGAAGAAGAAATGCCATGCAACGATTCTTCCAGTAATACGTAATTATTGCCCAGAAATTTGTAAACACTGTATCTACTTCCAGCCTTCAATTAATGTCATCATTGAAAACCCCAAAAATGTACTAGTATGAACTGCTTCGATGTTACTCCTTCCATTTTAAAATATATATCGTTTTAAAATTTGGTAAATTTTTTGTTGTTTTCACAAATCAAGATATATTTGACTATGTTTTACCAATATTACCCTTGCATTAGAAATGAAACAGTATTTATAAGGAATTTTTATTAGTTTATGATGAATTGTATAGATAATAAATAAAGATATTTTTATATTTTAACTATATTAATTAATATTTTCTTGGTTTTGATGATTTCTCTAGAAAGACATATAAAAAAAAATCCAGCGAGTATATATATCAAGTAGACTGGTCAATTAGCTAGATAATTGAACGAAAACGTGTATAAGTCAGTCATTTAAGACACGAGACGTTTGTAAATATTCGAAGTTTGGGTAAGAGTTGTGCGTACGCGTGGATTTCCTCCCCCGTAAATACCTTGTAACATCTTTAGGTTGTTACATCCAAATGCCAATCCACACCAAGTGTAAAAGGGAGATTTGAAACAGTTGTGATTGCTTCCAATTATCAAAATGTACTACATATGAATACTGCTTATAAGCTATACAAGCTATCAAAATGTTTTAATTATCAAAATTTATAAGCGCATATATAGACCTCCCCCAGAAACGGCCATCCATCCTACTATGTGAAGACTATACTTCTTTTCATTTTTTTATTTTTATTTTTTTCCCCTTGTTTTTTGAGAAGACCTATGTGAAGACTTGAAATTCACAAGCAATTTAAGTAACAAGTGGTATGAACATATATATAGGGGGGTATTGACCAAAACCTAATTGTATTGCTGATAATTAAAGATTATAGTAATAAGCTCACTTCCCAAGATTGTAATGAAGAAGAACAATGTGATAAAAGTAAAGTTTTAATGATAATAATAACTGGTTGAGAGTTGGCAAATTGTCAGGTTTGCTAGCTCAAATCCAGTACTACTACTGTACATATTGATTATGGTAATACTATAATCAATCTTACCAAGAAAGCTTGGATTCTACTACTGTCTGTCACCCTTGAGATTTTAATTAGCAAATGAAGTAAACACTACCACATATTTCTTTTTTGTTTTTTTTTTTAAAAAAGAAAAATATACTTGCATCTAAAGAAACCTAAAGTAGGATTTATACAATTATTAATGCATTTTATTTTTTAAAAAATTACGATTCCATACAATTCGTACCATGAAGTAGTACTAGTATAATTTTCAAATGCATTTTTTTTTCTTTTTGTTAAATTAGAAACTACTCCCTCCTCCGTCGCAAAATTATTGTCCAGTTTGTATTTTCAATTTTAATACAATTTGAACTAGAACTGAAAATTCAAATTGGACAATAATTTTGGAACGGAAGGAGTATTTTTATAAAATGACAAGAGTGAGAAGATGAATATAGAAAGTGGTATTCAATCATCCAACTAGCAAATTGAGGTAAAAGAAAATAATGATAAAGTAAACAGCTTTGTTAAACCATAATCAAATGTTTAGTTGCAGAAGTATTATAAATATATTTAAAATAAAACAGAGAGAGCAGTGGCGGTGGTTAATCATCAAGAGCACTTTTTTTGATGCAGGCGTGGGTATAAATCCAGGACCTTTGCTCAAGAACTTTCTTTTTCTTTTTTCACTTCCCTTCAATTTCCCCCAAATTCTTCACTTTTTTTCTTTTTTTTTTATAAATCTCTCTGTCTTTTGAACATTTTTATGTTTAGTATTAACTCCACAATCTGATCATTATGCTTCTTCTTACACACACCCAGAGTCACAGTCTCGAATACCTTTTTCTCTATTCGTCTGGGTTTATGTCTTTATTATTTGAAACTTTGGAGTACAACAAAGTCCTCAGAGCCCCAAAAATTTCGTGCTAATTTTTCAAGCTAAAGTTATAATTATCATCATTCCTCACGTTGTTGTTAAAGAAGAAAAAAAGAGAAAAGAATATGCAAAGTTATCAGTCCAAAATGGTATGCAGAGCATAGTCCCAAAAGTAGGAGCAGTACAGAATCTGAAATGGGGTATCTTTTCTTTCCCCACTTTTTAGTTCTTGGTCTTTCTCTCTTTCAGAGCTCTGTTTATTCTGACTAGGGTTTTTTGTTTCCTGGGTTTTATTTTTTTTTTAGAAGGAACTGTTGGAGGGGTTTGAATGGTAGTATTTATGGTGATAGAATCAATGTCTCTGCTCAATTAATTGCTTCAATCCACTGTTTTTGAGCGGTTTCTTGAACTGGGCTTTTGTTTATTTCGGACATTTGGGCGTTTCATTAGTGTAATTTTGCTAAGGACTGCTGGAAATTCAAGCGTTTCTCTGGGGGATTGCAGTGTTCATTTTCTTTCGGTGGTCCTTACTGTGCTTTATCGGTGCATGGACTTGTTTCAATCATCTGCATTTATTTTTCCTTTGCTTGGTGGTAATTAATGAATTCAATCATTCTTGTTTGCTTTCGATTCAGTTATCTCTAAATGCTGAGTTCCTGTTTACCCTGTTTTTTCTAATTTTGGGAGAATAGAGAGCTTCAATTGTCTTCAAATCCACGCAAATTTTGACCAATTTATGATTACTCAGCTGGTTGCTATTGATCTTCTTCTTTGTAATTGGCGGTATCCTGATAAAGTTTCAATTTTTCGCGTATTGTAGGTCATTTGAGTGGAGAAAGGTGACAATCCTCTTGGTGTAGCTAGTATCGAGTTTTTTCCTGGCCTTATATTATTTTTTGAGAAGCGACTGCAAGTCTTTGGTTGTTTGAGTTCGAAACTTTTAAGTAATAGATATGGCTGAAAAGGATAATCTTGAAGAAGCAAAAAGGAGTGAGGATCTTCTGAGCTATCAATCAGCAAATGTTACTTCAGAATGGCAATTAACTGGTAGTCATCTATCAAGCACTGGATTGATCCCTCCAGGCAGTTCTGGGTCTGTTTCTAGAGGGGATATTGTTGAGCAGCCTTCTTGCTCTGATGCTAATCGAATCGACTCATTCAACCCAACTATGTGGGATCAACCGTCAAGTTCGAATAATTTAGGTTTTGTTGACAACATAGTCCAGCACAATTCCAGTTATTTAAATCCTTTGGTAAACCGAACAGGTTGTCCTGTCCCTCTGGGAGCTGGTGGTGACGGTTTGGTTGGCTTAAACTGGACTCCACCAAATGCAATGTTGAAAGGGGGTATGTTTCTTCCTGGTGCACCTGGATTTCTCCCTCAGAGTTTGACCCATTTTCCAGCTGATGCAGGGTTTATTGAAAGAGCTGCAAGATATTCATGCTTCAGTGGTGGGAATTTTAGTGAAATAATGAACCCCTTCAACATGCCTGAGCCTGTGAATCCGTACTCGAGGGGTCTGGCTCCAATTCTTGGATCACAAGAGGGTTTGACTGGAAATGGATTGAAGTCAATGTCTGGGATGCCATCACAAAGTAATGAAATGAACATGGCTGAAACTTCCAGAAATGTTTCTGCACCGTTAGCTGAGAGTGTGCCTTCTGATGGAAACCAATATAAGATTGGCAAAAACAATGAAAATTCAGCTAGGTCTCAAGATGGTGCAAAAGGAGGCGCCGCAGTTTCAAGCAATGAATCAGATGAAGGTGAATTTAGTGGCCGTGGTGCTCAAGGGGAACTGGAAGCTCCAGTTGGGGAGTCATCTTCGAAGGCACTTGGGTCCAAGAAAAGAAAAAGATGTGGGCGGGTAAGACTGGCTTTTTCGACCTGAATGTAGTCATGGTTTTATATTAAACTTCAGTTGCTTCAGCTGTGGGTGTGACTTTTGTTTTTTCCCTGTCAATGATGTATTTTTTGTATCACCAGGAAGCTGAGCTTGATCAGAACAAGGGAACTTCACAGCAAGTTGTGGAAGTTAAGAAGGATGATAATGAAGTTCAGCAGAAGGGAGACCAAAATCCAACCTCAGTTACCAGCAAGCCTGGTGGAAAAAATGCTAAGCAGGGACCGGAAGCGTCAGGTTCTCCTAAAGAAGAATATATCCATGTTAGAGCAAGGAGAGGCCAAGCTACAAACAGTCATAGTCTTGCAGAAAGAGTAATAAGTCTTGATATGAAAATTAGTACTTCTTTCTTTTATATCCATGATTGAAGCACCATTCAGTTCGCTCTTATATGTATAAGGCCTTTGGTTGGAACTAACTGAATTGTATTGTAGGTAAGGAGGGAGAAGATTAGTGAGAGGATGAAGTTTCTTCAGGATCTTGTTCCTGGTTGCAGCAAGGTATTAATCTTGATGCCTTACATTTACTACAATCATGGACTATGATTTCCAGTGGTTTAATGGTTTTTTTTTTTTTTTTCATTTTCATTTTTCGGGGTTTTACAGGTGACTGGAAAAGCAGTTATGCTGGATGAAATCATTAACTATGTGCAATCTCTACAACGTCAGGTTGAGGCAAGTGTAGTTGCTTTTATGTTATCTTCTCCTATGTTTTGTGTGATATTGTTGCAGTTTTAAGTATGTCTTTCAGTTGTGCTTTGGATGACTCAATATTATTTAGCTCTGCATCTGTACATTATTGAGAAATGGCTATTTTGATGTTTCTTTGAAAACTAGATCAAGTTTTATTTTTACCTGACTGGTGCTTAGTGCTTCTTCCTTCTACCTGTGAGTAAAAGATAGATGAGTAAAGCTCTCTGATTTTACCTCTCTTAGGAATCAGGTTGTAGCTCTTATGTCCTGTCTCCGTAATCATATTTTTGATTACATATTCTTCTCTGTCCTACAGTTTCTATCTATGAAGCTGGCAACTGTGAATCCGAGGCTGGACTTCAACATTGAAGGGCTTCTTGCAAAAGATGTAAGCAAAGTTGAAAATAACCTATTTCATAATCAGGCTTTTGAGGCTGATTGCACTGCTTAATTCATGTCCTTCCAAAACTTGTTCACAGATCCTTCAGAGCCGAGCTGGTCCACCACATCTGAATTTTCTTCCTGATATCTCTATGGCGTATCCTCAGGTACATCAATCACAGCAGGGATTAGTCCCATCGAGTCTTCATGGACTCGGAAGTTCCTCGGATGCTCTTCGACGATCCCTCAGTTCTCAATTTACAACAGGGAGCAGTAGCCTTAAAGACCTTTCTTCTCAGGTATATTTGGCTAATCAGGCGCCCAATGTTTAGGTTTTGGCTTCTCTTTCCAATGCAATCAATACCCAGTAACAACTTGAAACTGATAACAAAACCTCTGGAAAAATGAGAAAGATGCATCATCTGCTGCCTTCACACTTTGTCATTGGCCTAATGTCATACCAATGTGTCATTTATAGGTATCTAACGTGTGGGAAGATGAGCTTCACAATATAGTTCAAATGGGCTTAACTTCAAGTGCTCCTCTCAGTAGCCAGGATTTAAGTGGTAAGAAACCTTCCCATCTCATTCTTTGTTATCGGAATTTCCAATTTTCCCACCTGAGCAGAGAATCCTCTTATGAAATGTGCAGGGCCTCTTCCTCCAGGACATGTGAAAGCCGAACGCTGACCAAAATTTTTTTCATCTTGACATTGTATTCTCAGTCAAATTGATTGTAAGGGTTTATTCCCGAGGGCCTATGTGAATTAAATCGACTCCTTGGTCAAGGTTAACCAAGCTGTATTTAAATTTGAGCCGAGCGTTCAGAAGCTCATGGAACCTGTTCTGGTAGAAGAGCCCTTTACAATATTGGTTGTAAATTATGTTCCCGTAGAAGCCTTCAAGAAAGGAAAATTTCTGGACCAAGGAATGTAGATTGTGGGATCCGATCCCCTGCAAAAGAAGCAGAGGATGGTTGTATTAGTTGAAGGGAAGAAGTGAACTGAAACTATAGCATCTAGTTTGTAATCATTTTAAGGTCTTATAGTTCATACTTATTATATATACTATGATTCTTTTGTCGATGAAGGAACTGTTTGCCATGTTTCCTGGTCATCCAACTTATCCATCATCTCCCAATATAGGAAAATGCATGTTAAATTTCAAACTAAGATGATTCCCCAGAAAGTCAGACTATAAATGTTTACTTTTCTGGGATTACTCATGAAAAGAAATTCTCAATATTATGATAGCGATTCTTCACGGTATCTTACCCTTCTAGAGGTTCACAAATTTTTAAAATTCAATGTAAACTTTTTTTTCAGAACAGAAAGAATATATAATTATGTAAAATTGTGTAAAATTAAGTATAAAACACTCACTAACCCTTGGAGACGCTAGAAAAGGTAAAAACTGTGATTTTATGTTGAATCAATGAAATGATATGACTTTAAATCGAAATTGTTACAATGTGATGTTCTCTCGTATCCAAATGATTGTTTAATTTAAATATGTTCTTTTAGTACGACTATAAGATTTTATCTTGCTTATTTTTATTTGGATATAATAGAATCAAGGCTCAAATGTGAGTTCTATTCATCCAAACTATATTGGTGTCCATAAAAGGGGAAACTTGTTTGTAAATATTTGTACTCCATAGTCATGTCTCCATGACAAGTCAAAAGAACGTGGCATGTCACGTGAGCGAAAGTCAATTGCTTCTACATATTTCCTTCCGTCTTTAATATAAGACATTTTGATTTGTTATATGTTTATCCTAGTATATATTTTTAATCTATGAAAAAATTTTAAACATGTATCACAATATTCAAGAGAATACAATAGATGTAAAAATATATTTTTAAGATTTTTTTCGTGGATGGAAAATATATATTATGTAAAATATATGAAAAGTCAAAAAGGGTTATAATAAGGAGGGGAGAGAATAAGTTTTACGTTGCGGTTCCCGCTAAAGTCTTCTTCGGACAAATGTCTCATCTTTCCCAGCTCTATTGCTCTCTGCTCAAACATTACTGTGAAACCAACAAATTAAACGAAGTGAAGAAGCTTCATTGCTTCATACTAAAAACCCTCGATTACCCAGAAACCTATTTGTTGAACAACCTCATTAATGCTTACGGGAAGCTTAACAGTTTAGGCTATGCACGCAACACGTTCGATCAAATTCCAAGCCCGAATCTTTTTTCATGGAACTCCATTTTATCAGCCTATTCGAAATCTGGGGATGTCTCAAGGATGAGGGAAACTTTTAATTTCATGCCAAGAAAAGATCGGGTTTCTTGGAATTTGATTATTTCGGGGTATGCCTCTCATGGGTTCTGCAAAGAGGCTTTGAAGGCTTATAAGCTGATGATAAGGGACGAGTTGATTTGTTTGAATCGGATTACGCTGTCCACTATGCTTATTTTGTCATATGATAAGGATTGGATTCATTTGGCAAGGCAAATACATGGGCAGATCATGAAGTGTGGTTTCATGTCCTGTGTTTTCGTTGGAAGTTCATTGCTGGACATGTATGCAAAGTCGGGTTTGATATGTGACGCAAAGGAGGTTTTTCACCAGCTTCCTGAGAAGAATGTGGTCGTATACAATACAATGATTATGGGTTTTTTGAGGTGTGGATTGGTGGATGAGGCGGCACATTTGTTTCATTTGATGGCCGAGAAAGATTCTATTTCGTGGACGTCAATGATAACAGGTTTAACGCAGACTGGTCTGGAAAAAGATGCCATTCATTTCTTCAGAGAGATGATCATGGAAGGATTGGCGGCTGATCAATTTACTTTTGGAAGCATCCTAACTGCTTGTGGAGGTCTCGTAGCCTTGGAAGAAGGTAAGCAAATTCATGGTTTTATTATTAGAAATTATCAAAGTGACAGTATTTTTGTTGGCAGTGCACTTGTTGATATGTACGCAAAGTGTAAATGCATTAGGTATGCAGAGTCAGTGTTTAAGAGGATGGCAAACAAAAATATCGTCTCCTGGACAGCAATGGTTGTGGGGCTTGGCCAAAATGGTTTCAGTGAGGAAGCTATTCATATTTACTCTGAGATGCAGAGAAATGGGTTCAAACAAGATCATTTTGCACTGGGAAGTGTAATTAGCTCCTGTGCTAATCTGGCTAGCTTGGAAGAGGGATCCCAGTTTCATGCTCAGGCACTAGTCACGGGGTTAGTTTCCTTTATTACTGTTGCTAACGCGCTTGTAACTCTGTATGGAAAGTGCGGAAGTATAGGAGATTCTCATCGGCTGTTTAATGAGATAAAGTTTAAGGATGAAGTTTCTTGGACCGCTCTGGTAGCAGGTTATGCACAATTCGGAAAAGCGAATGAAACAATTGATTTATTTGAAAAAATGTTGGCCCATGGGCTACAACCAGATGGTGTTACTTTCATAGGTGTTCTTTCTGCCTGTAGCAGGGCTGGGCTGGTAGATGAAGGGCGTAAGTACTTTCAATCAATGGAGGAGAAGTACAAAATCAAGCCAAAGGCTGATCACTATACTTGCATGATCGATTTACTTAGCAGGGCAGGTAAATTAGAAGAAGCGAAAGACTTTATACAAAGGATGCCATGTCCCCCTGATGCAATTGGTTGGGTTACCCTCCTTAGCTCCTGCAGGAATCGTGGTGACATAGAAATCGGGAAATGGGCAGCAGAATCTCTCCAGGAAATAGAGCCGCATAATCCTGCTAGCTATGTGTTGCTATCAAGTATGTATGCGTCAAGGGGAACATGGGATGAGGTTTCTCGATTAAGAAGAAGGATGCGGGATACAGGTATAAAAAAGGTGCCTGGGTTTAGTTGGATTAAGTACAAGAACAAGGTACACATATTCTCTGCTAATGACAAGTCCAGTCCATTTTCAGATCAGATACATGAAGAACTGGATAGATTAAACTGTAAAATGGTAGCAGAAGGTTATGTGCCTGATCTGAGTTCTGTTCTTCATGATGTTGAAGAAACGGAGAAAGAAAAAATGCTGAACCACCATAGTGAAAGGCTCGCTATTGCCTTTGGTTTGCTTTTCGTTCCCCCTGGCATTACCATCAGAGTGGTGAAAAATCTTCGAGTTTGCGAGGATTGTCACCGTGCAACTAAAGTAATTTCGAAGATCACCCAGAGGGAAATTCTCGTAAGGGATGCTGTACGCTATCATTTGTTTAAAGACGGGAAATGTTCTTGCGGGGATTTTTGGTGATGAGATCCGTATTACTTCTATCGGATTGTTATAATAATTAATTCCTAGTCCATTATGAAGGTTCCTCAGGTATAGTACAACAGAGTAATTTTCATCCATTAATCCAAGTGGGAACTGATACTTGAATTACAATTTCCAGGATATGTAATCACACAAATGGCCCCAGGTAGAGATTGGAAAGAAGGAAAGTTCTGCTAGTAGGGATGTCTATTTGATTCTGGCCTGTTGATTCTGCATACCCACAAATATCAAAGATTATTAAAATGGAAAGTTTTGATGACGGGGGAGGGGGTGCGGGAATGTTATGGGTTTGAAAGAATTACCTTCAGTCTACTGCAGATTTCCAGGACTTCAGGTAGAGGTGCCCAGTCTCCGAAGTTTCTTTCAACAAACTGGTACGCAATACCAGTCTTTCCTCTGCCTACTATGAATAAGCCACCTTTTATTTCTCCTTCTCCCTTGAAGTTCTGCTCTATCCCTGTAGCCTTTGCTCGCTTATAATTTGCACGAGCTTGAGGATTTAACAAGAATCCAAAAATGAATTTGTCTTTGAGGAGCTTCCCTCCCCCTAGGGCTTTAAAAAATTCCATCCCTCTGTCGTAAACCACGGCACCACCCCAGTAACGGGGCCAGAAGTCTTTTACCTGCAACAGTTGTAGTGATGCTTTCAGCAATCTAAGGGCATTCAAAGAAAATATAAGTAGGGACAATAATAAAATACCTCTGTTTCTATGTACTCGTGAATGATTGCATATAACTGAACCCCTAATGCATCAAAGATTGGTTTTTTGGAGTACAGTCGATGAGCTTCAGCTCTGCACATTATACACCTGTGTAGTTTTAAGGTTGGTGTTTAAAACCATTATCAATCAGTTGTCTCAGTGAGTAAAATTATGAAAGCAAAGGCCTTCCCGCAGAGCAAATATCTAAAGAAATCAGGAGTTTGGTACTTCATACTTGCAGTCAGTAACATGACATTCTATTTATGCATGCTTGTCTAAATGGATTGAGTACGTGTGATTGCTGATACAAGTTCTCTGTGACATGATCTGTTCAAACAACTTTTGACAGCTAATTATTTATTTTTTAGATTCTTCAAAAGCTGCCAAGCCATCCACACTAAAGAAGGGGGAAAAGAAAACTCCTTTTGAGGTAGAGTTAAGGTTAATTTATGTGCACAATTTCAGAAGAAGCAATGAAGAAAGAAGAATGCATACCCAGGGCGACGGAGGCAGAGGATAACAGCTGTTTTATCACGCCAGAGTTCTGAAGCCTTCATGGGAGGTGTCTTAGTTTTAATCAAGCTCTCCGTTCCAACTTTGTATTCAGGAGTGAGTTTTTGGACTGAAATACTCTCAATGGCAGACAAGGGAGCAACATCAGCAACAACTGGTGGAGGTTCTACACAGCCACATGCTCTAGGCTCAGCTGGCACTGAAGCCACAATTCCTTTAAAAACATGTCCATCTTTGATCTTAAGCTCAGCCAGGGACTGCTCTACAGAAAAATCAGAAGTTGAACTGCCTTTTCTGGCATATCTTGTCATGCTTGGTGTTTTCCTGTTGATTGAGGAAGAATGCATGCTGAAGCTACTAGTTATTTTGGAAGGCCCAGTCATATATTTTGTTGTTGTGGAAGAATTTAACACTGGCATGGCACATGCTGTTGTTCTGTCTAAAAATCGGGCAATATGTCCCCGTCTCATTCCAAACTGAATTGAGAGATCTGCCGCCATCAAGTTTAGAAGTTCAGGAAGCCCTTTCCCAGAGGCCTCTAGCTTATTTGCATATTGCATCAATGCACGATCATGCAGGTATGACCTGATTTCCAGTGCATCCTTGTGTAGGAAACAGAAAATGATATTCAATATGGTAACAGGACTACAAGTTATGTCTTAGTTGGAGCGGAAGGTTGAATAGACCAGACTATCTTTTTGTTTTGGCACAGTGAGAGAACTCGCAGAAAAATAAGCAGGTTAAAATACAGTGTGGAGATGAATACTAACAAAAATCTGGAATTTTAAAACATGCCACGGAATCGTTAGGAAATTATTTGGGAACTGCATCTTTTTGAAAATGGATGGAAAGAACTACTGCTTTATGGACAAAAGAGACGTAGATGATAGCGCACATACCTTCTGCTTTTGAGTCATATTCAGGGCATTCATGTCTTCTGCATTCATGAGCTTAAGGGTCGGCACATCATCCCAACCTTCTTCCAGGAGCTTTGGAACAATTTCCTTCAGAGATCCACCCCCAACGAAGTCTTCCATCAAGAAAGAAGCCATCTAAAATAACCAGTGTGTTAAAACGAAGTTTCGAATCACAAAACAGATGTAGCTTTATGTGAAAAACTTTTGGAGAAAGATGAGTTTGAAGATTTCTTAAAGGTCATCTAAAAATGGCTGAAATTTTGATGATGCCTATGTTAGAACTTTAATGCTGCCTACTTTCATCATTGAAGACAATGTCATGTGGTATAGTTTATCTTTGCCTGCAGGCTCAAGAACAGGATGACAGGCCAGATGGCGTACGTTCTTAGACCCAACATTATGTGTTATCTAGTGGAAGATTCTCCTGGAGGCCTGCACTCTTTGTTTTTTTCAATCTCGAGCAGGCTCCAAAATTTCATAAGATCAAAGATTGTGTTATCCATCCTTGTCAAAGTCGTCTTCATTAACTTTTACTTAATCGAAATTCAAACTGCTCAGATAAATTCTCCATTGGTCTTGGATCTTAATGAAATGCCGGCCAAACTCTCACCGGGGCTGGCCATATCCTCGTATATTCTACTTTCTGCAAACATGCATATTGTGTTTTTTTTTTTTTTTTTTTTTGTGCTTGTTCCTTATTGTTGACCACTTGGTACACAGAGTAACTCATTTCTAGATTTGGAATCTTTTTTTAACTGGGATTTTTGTGAAATAATAGTACGGTATTTTTTTTCGCGCTTCAAACATTCAAACAGCTGCTAAAGATTCTTGTCATTACAGACTGTTGCTAGTTTACATTTATGATCGATCTAAACTATTTTTGTAACAATTTCAATTTATAAAATAGAATTTACATAGTGGTGTAGAGGTTACAGACTTTTGTTCATTAGGATTATATGGTTCGAGAAATGGAGCCACTCTGACTGTCATGATCAACCTTCTTTCCTCAAAGGAGATTTACTTGGTAAAGTAGACTGAATTATCTGGGAATTTGTTCAGGTGCCTCAAAATTTTCTCAGCCATCTCCCTCGTACAATCATCTCCATGGTGGAGTGAACTGACTACAGTAGTGAAGAACAATCCGTCCCGCGATACATCAGAAACCATTTCATCGCCACCTTTTGAAAGGATCCTATCCATCATCCAAAATGATTTTTGCAGGATCTGCTCTTCTTTGTGCTCCTTTATGACATTCAGGATGTGTGGGACTGTGTGCATATCATTAAAGAACTTGGCGCTCTTATCCAAATCAACTTTGTCATCCAACAATGTGCATATTGCTGAAAGTGCAGCTTGAACCACCTCAACGTTGTCGTGGTCTAAGCAGTTTATGAGTCTTTCAACTGCCTTTGCATCAATCAAGCAGAAGGAATCTTGTGAAGAACAGGAACCTTTATGAACTGGACAAACTGATACCATTTGGTACTTAGACATATTGCAAGAGAAACACTTCATAAACTTGAAAGTTCCAGCGTATGCAGTTGTCCTGGATTGTGGCTTTTTGGATAGAATGGCAGATTGTTCTGATAAATTCTTGAGTGCCATAGCTGATAACTTCTGAACTTCATCGCTAGATGTATTTGCTATTAGTTCTGTGAATAGCGATGTGAAGTCGTAGTCCCTCACTAAATTGAGTACTTGAATGTCATACAGTGTGGTTGTAAACCTTACAAGAGTCCCAACAAGGCCTTCAAGATAAGTACTTGTATATCTGCTTGTTCTTGTTCCTGTATTTTGGATCCAACTAATGCTTTGGACGATTTTTGTGACCATACTATGATCAAGCAAGGCTCGGTTCAGTGTTATATTCTGATAAGGAAGCTTAGCTAAGAATTTAGCTGAAAGTGAATGCTTCTCTGTGATTCGGATAACTTCTTTTGGGTATTGAATTAGGCTCTCAAGTTGGCTCTTTGTTTTGCATAATCTGTCACATAGAGTGTGCCCCATGAAAGATGACAGTGTGATTAGTAATTTGAGCACTGCAACCCCAAGTTCTTCGTTTGGATAGTTGATGAGTTCAATCAGGTTGTAACTTGCTTCTGTTTCCTTCACTACAGACACAATTGTTGCTGATGCTTTTGGAAATTTCATCAGGCACAATAACATCCTTATCAGGTTGATGGTTAAATCTTCAGGGGTCGAGTGTTTGATCCAGCTGATGATGTTATACACAATGTAGTCCGAAGCCATTGTGTGGCCATGGGAATTTACGCGCAGATTCTCTAGCTCCAATCCAGACTCACATATATTTGCAAGTATTGTAGCTGCCTCATTCTTAGAGTTTACTGGTTCATTCTTAATTGTTCTTGCAAACATCTCATCAACCATGATTGTCAGGATCCCTGCCTCCACAAGTCTTCCATGTACAGAATGGTTACTGGAAATTTGTCTCAGTGCTTGAAAGGCTGCACTTCTGCAAAGAGAATTTCCACTGCGTACCATGTCTAGTAATGCTGAAGAAGTTCTCTCAGCCACAGATGCTATCATATCCGGGCTAAGAACTATCTTGCCAAGGAAGCTCGCCATCTCTATTTTCATGTCTTTGGTACCTTAATAGCACAAAGTTACGAATATTCAGTAAACAGAAGCCATGCATGAAATAGCCACTTTATATAATTGTGAGATCACGTTGATTATAGTAAACATACTCCATTTAGATTATGATGACTCTGCTTGACAAGATCTCCAATTTGTTTATTACCTTTAACAAGATTCTGCAGTAGCGGTTCCCAGTATCCATTTTCTGCCATGCATTTGATGTGATCAGGAGATGTTTCCAGGTTTCTTAAGATTTCCTCAGCTTTTTCTGATGCGTATTCATCCACAGACTTCCTGTACTTTGTTGTTATGAGCATGAGGATACCCCCAGCAATACCTCCAATAGTTGCACCAAAATGCCGGGATTTAGAAAGCTCACTCAAGAGCAAGGCTGATGCATGCCTAGCCGCCCGGTGATTGCTTGACAGCATCTTTATTAATTTTGACAGATCAACTGTCTTGGATACAATTTCCTGCAACACATTCATAAAACATCAAATTATGTTATAAATGTGATAAGAATTCCAATATGAAATAGAGAAGAAGATTACCTTGCCATCATCCTCACCCTCGGCTAGTTGCTGCAGAAGATTTGCGGTTGCACATCTTACAGTTATGCTCTCATGGTACAACAACTTGGCAAGCACCGGAATGATCTCAACATTCCGGATCTTTACCCTATTGTACGCTTTTTCTCCACAGATACCTTGCAGATCAGCTATTGCTTGAAGGATCATTTCCTCTGTACTTGCCAACAACAAAGCAGCACGGGCGACCTTAATTTTTGCTGTTTCATTTCTTTCCTTCCACTCAGCAATGGTATTTTTTAAGGCAAAATTGGTATTCGAGTTTTTGCTTTGCAGCTTCTGGCCTGATTTGGGGCACAAGATCTCATCTTGTACCTCAAACTTATTGAACCACTCGGTTATGGCTGTCCTGTCATATGTTATTCCACTCTCAATGGTTACTGGATCATCCATAATCTTGTTTGTCAGAGGGCAAAAGAATGTCTCATACAGAGGCTCAATGTATTGAGCCATTTCAGGTACACTCATCAAAGATTTTCCGCTCCAACTCATCTGGTTTTTCTTTTTAAGGCTTTCATCCACGGAAGGCTTCGGTTTATCTGATGAGAGAAGGTACTCCATTGAGGCTTCAACATCAGTAGAATAAAGATCAGTCTCATTTTCTGTATCTTCTTCTGTTGAAATTTCCGCTGAAGCCACAACATGTCTTATTTCCGGCTTTCTGTTCTTTGAAGTTGTTGCCCTGCTGACTACAAAGTTCACCTCTTCCATTTCTTTAGACAGGGATTTGGCAGCAATTTTCACATGCTCTTCAGCTCCATTAAGAGAATTCTGTATCATATTAAGATCTTTACCTACGGCTCTCAATATTCCTTGGAGATCTTCCAGTATATCATTGATACCAGAGTCTTGATCTGATTGTGCACACTGTTGGCCTTTCTTCGTGAGGTCTTTCGCCAAATCAATGCTGCTTGAAAGGGAACTCAGTATCTGTGTGGTATTCTTCAGGACATTATCGCGCATCTTCAACTCCATGATAACAGCAGAAGCCCGGTAAAGGTAGGATCCAAAACAGATGAAAGCTTCATTTTGCAACTCTATGCAGACCACTGATTCTATAACTTCTGAAATAGAAGACAACAAAGATTCAACCATACTCACATGTGGCCGCTTCTCTACCATCAGCTGTAAAGATTCAAAATGGTTTTAGCTGCCTAGATGCAACAGTTACACTACGATTCTAAAACAGATTACATATGGATTGACATGCGTAAAGATTTTCGCATAAAATATTTCATCATTATGAGTACTAATCCGCAGTAACAGACACTAAAACCAATAAGAGTCCTACTTAAAACCAATAGAAACAAAGGTAGAGTGTGCATACCATAATCCAGTCAGAAGCATTTCCGGGCATGATTTCTCCAGCCAAATGACAATATGGGAGCTGAATTACCATGTTTTTCAGTAAATATTGTTGCCCTGCGCTCTTTCAGTAGGACATTATAGTGCCTTAAAACTGTATAAAGTCAATGTTTATTCAAAAAGTTTGGATCTAGTGAGAGTGATATTTTTCTACTACAAACTTATTGCTTACGAAAATGTCCGTGTCCCTTTTTGGAGTGTACTCAGTCAGGCTCAATTCAGCTAGAACAACTTGATTCTTGTCACTGTCTTGTGTTTAGTTTAATCTCTTGGACTTTTTCGTCATTGCGATTGTAAATGGTAAAATCCTGTAACTTTTTACCTGCCAAGGTATAAGAGATTTGTTCTGAATTATTATTATTATTATTATTTTTTTTTTTTTTTTTTTTGCAGGAAAGTCAATACATGAAGAAAACTTAGAAGATGTCAAAACTGTGAAGTATCAAAAAATTAAGATACTCCCTCCGTCCCAAAATTATTGTCTAGTTTGAGTTTTCATTTCTAGTTCAAACTGGACAATAATTTTGGGACGGAGGGAGTACTATATTATAGCCAATTCATATGATAGCTTTGTTTTGTGTGACTTTGTCTGGCAAAAAAAGATGAGGATTGAGTGAGTCTGGCATTGTGAGTTTTCAATATTAAATCATGGCCGGTCACGTTTGTTGATTTTCAATCTGATATAATACATTGACCAATTCAGCCAAGGATCAAAGGATGTTATTTACAACAATGTTGGGAAGATGCAGAAGAAAGATTCATCTGTGTCTTATTGGCCATCATATATTTTGCTTGCATTTGGAAAGATGCCATTTTGATAGAATAAGTCCCGGCTTTTTATGTGAACCGGAACGATGAGCGCCTCAACATATATTTTTCACGTATCGTAGACTGTTATTTGTCTCCTCCTAAATGCTAAGTATCACTTCCTTTGAACCATTTTTTGCCTTTCTCATAATTTTAAACCCCGCATTATTTTCCTCAATCCTTCAATTTTCTCAAACTCAAGATCCCAAAATCTAATTTTATGAATCGGAAGGCTACAAACGTAAGAAATTAATGGAGTCCAAGTTTAGGCAAAGACAAAATAACACATCGAAAATATTTCTTACCCAATTTTTTTTTTTTAAAATAAAAAATAAAAATAAGAAGAAAATTATGATCGGTCAGGCGTTCGTAGATCGCCCTTGAATGGTGGCGTCAACGTCCAATCCAGACGCCCGAATATTTGGTAAATGGGTGGATTGACTTTGATCACCAAAATTATTGAATAGGGCGTCATCAAGATACGTTTTCCAATACTGCTATTCAATTATACATAAAGTTTCATATTATTTATTTAATTTAAATTCTTGTTACATTTCAAATCACTGTCACAAACGGTCATAATAAGCGTTACTACTTTCTTTGGTTTGCAAGTAATTTAGCATTCATAGTATGTCGTTTTTATCTTTTGAATTTCCCGTTACAAGTGCGTCATAATACATTGTTATCACGTTTTCTATTTCACTGTTATTGACCGTTATAATATATCACGATTATTTTTTTATATAATTTAAAAATCAAACCAAAATTTGAAGTTGATCATTTTAGAAGGATAACAATACTCCAAAAATCACATTTTCAAAGCTACCTCTCTCTGAAGTTGAACTTGATATTTTAGAAGGATCGGGGGGTAATCGGTTCCGGATCGTCCACCTCTCTTTGGGTAGCTGGTTTTGGGCCGGCTGGTCCTGACTAGAATTTTTTTTTTTTTAAAAAAAAAAACAATTCAATTATTTTTTTGTTTATATTCATTTTAGTTATTTAATTTGTTTTTTTTAAATGAGTAGTATTAATCTTTGTTGTTTATATTGTTTAAATTTAATTAAATTTAAATGAATAGTATTAGTAATTGTTGTTTATGTAAATAAAATTTAATTTAGTGTTAATTATATCTTTGTGTTATTTTTATTATTCTTCTTATATTCATTTTAGTTATTGATTATATTTTTCAGTAATTAGTTTGTTTAAATGAGTAGGATCAATAATTATATTCTTCAAGAAAGTAGAAAAATAGGAAGAAGAGAAAAGAAATGAGAAAATATGAGAAAGAGTGGTTAAATTATCCTAACAAAGATAAATGAGTAATTTTTGTAACTGTAAATAGTAATTAAATTTTTATGTGGACAGTTAAAATTTTTTTATTTTCTTTTTTTTGGACAGTTCAATTAATACTAGAAAATCAGATTTTAAAAATCCGAAAGTCTTATATGGTCCCAGGAGCAGATACACATCTATCGAATTTCTAAAATCCGAAATCTACCTTACTTTCAGATTTCTGAAATCCAAAATCATTTTACTTTCGGATTTGGAAAATAAGAAACATATACTTCTGTCTATTTCCTCTCTAACAGGATATAATTCCGTCCATGCCCTCTCATGAAAATATATGGATCAAAACTAGTGTAGACTTTGATCAACAAAATTGTTGAATAGGGCATCGTCAAGGGACGTTTTCCAAATACAGTTTGAACCTATACATTACTCTTTGTGACTATGATATTTTATTAATTTGTGTAGTTATTAATTTATCGATAGATTAATAATTTATCAATTTAACGAGTTTTTTCAATCTTGTTATTAAAACAAATTACCATCATTTATTACTTTTATTAAAAAAATCGATTTCAAACCTATTTATACTATTATTATTATTTTTTTTCTAATACAAGAAAAAGATGATAATTGCTAATCTTTGAGTTAAAATGTAAATTGATCTTCACATCTAAATTTTTATTTTAAGTATTTATTAATTTATGAAATCACGAAGACTTACATTTATCTAAGAAATTCTTGAAAAATTTATTGTTTTTATCAATTAGAATTTTTCATACTTTATATTGGTCCCGAATCAGGATCGGAGAAAAATATTATTTAATAAAATTTATTTATTTATAGAAGATTAATCTAGGAGATTCTACTGTACTGATATTTAGTTATACATGAATTTTTATATTGTTTATTCAATTTGAATTCTTGTCACGTTTCAAATCACTGTCACAAACGGTCATAATAGGCGTTACTACTTTTTTTTTAGTTTGCAATTAATATAACATTTATAGTATGCCATTATTACTTTTTGAATTCACCGATACAAACGCGTCAAAATATAATGATATCACGTTTTCTATCTCATTGTTGTTGACGGTTATAATATATCACGACCACTTTTTTAATTTTTTTCATATATATAATTTGAAAATCAAACCAAAATTCAGATCTTTTTAGAAGTATAACAACACCCCAAACATCACATTTTCAAAGCTCAATAGTTTTTTTTTCAAAAAAAAATAATAACACTGGGGATAAAGAGAACATGTTTGACCAAGTTTTGTTAAATAACTCAAAACAAAAGTAATTTGGCTGACCAATGAAAATAAAGTAATCTATCTATAATTAATGATACACAAGAACCAAAAAAAAAGTAATAGTAATTAATAGAAGTCTGTAAATGAACAAATTTCACCTTTCTGAATTTTAATTAAATTAAAAAAAAAAGAGAGGAAATAAACTTTAATTATGGACACGTAGACAGTGAATTCTTCTGATAGGAAGCCAATCACCACCATATTAATTAGCTCTTTGCTAAGTCAGAGAAATCAGAAAAGGAATAATAGAACGTTTTCTTTGCGCCACGAAGAAGCTTTTTTTAATGCGAATTTTGGTTTGCATTTTGGATTTTTCTGATTTTTGTTTGTTCCAGTGATAATACGACGAAATTCCTTACTGTCCCCATTTTTTTTTTTCTGTCAAATCACTCACTGGGTTGATTGATAAGAACGCTCACTACTCACGGCATTTCTACGTGTTAGTTTCATCCATTTTTTTGGAGTCCCACAACATGTTTATTCTCTGTTGTTGGAATTCCTCAGTAGTATAAAAAAAAAAATTAAAAAAAAAAAACTTTTCTTTTTTCACAAATTTGAGGATTTGGATAAAATCCCATGAAACCCATTTCTTTTTAATCTTGCTCTTGATGTTAAAGAATCGATCACGATTATACGGCTAAAAGTTTTAGGTTTATAAACCAGTTTTCCGGGGCATGGACGAGAAAGATTCTGTTTCAGTCATGGTTAAAGATGCAAATACACCTTTGTTAGAAGAGTCTAGGAACTCGGGTTGTAATGGGGCAGAACAGAGTGGTGATCAGGAGGATTTGTTTAATGGGGCTTCATTTGTTGGGGCGGTTTTTAATTTGTCCACAACTATTATCGGTGCCGGGATGATGGCGTTGCCGGCAACCATGAAGGTTCTTGGCCTTATTCCAGGAATTGTTATCATTGTTCTCATTGCTCTAGTGACGGAGATGTCGGTGGGGATGATGTTAAAGTTTGGTAAGGCTGGCGGGTCAACTTCTTATGGAGCAATTATGGGGCATGCATTTGGAATTGTTGGCAGAAAGGTCTTACAACTTTGTGTGTTAATCAACAACGTGGGATTGCTTGTAGTCTACATGATCATAATTGGTAAATAATTTTTAGTAAACATGTGTTTTTGTAGTTATGAAGGTGCAAATATTGATTGCATGTTTCGGGTTCTGCAGCAATTAATTGCTTCTTTTTTTTGTGAAGGTGATGTGCTGTCAGGAACAACTTCTGGGGGAGTCCATCATGCTGGTGTATTGCAGGGATGGTTTGGAGAACACTGGTGGAATGGCAGATTATCTGTGCTTTTTTGGACAACTGTGATTGTGTTATGTCCATTAACATTTTTTAGGCGAATTGGTTAGTATTTCTCGTATACTTACATGTTATTATAGTTTATTATTCTGGTCAGACTTTGGACTTTAAGATCTTATGCTTGGTTGGGAGCTATAAAAATAATAGTGGGTGCTGAGTTATTCAGCTATGGAAACTAGAAATTTATTCAGAGAAGCTGGACGTTTATAGTCTAAGATGAACTTTTTTCCTTCCCTAGTTTAGGACATATACATTCTTGGAATTGTGAAAAGTTCGATTAAATTGTTAAGGTTCCAGAATGTATTACTTATTGCAGACTAGCAAGGAAAGCTTCCTACTAGGCTTTATGCTGGTTTGATTCAGTAACAGGGAGCAAAAATGCTTTTTTCTCTATAGAGTATGTGTAGCATCTTGACTTCTTGTCTTATGGTAGAATATTGGGAGAGGATCATTGGTGTTAGATTGAAAGATGCAAAACTGCTTCCAGCTATTTACAATTTCTACACACTCTTATATTCCTCTCATTTCTTTGGCAGGTTCATTAGGTCTTAGTTCAGCCATAGCGGTTGTTTTGGCGATTGTCTTCCTGGTGGTTGTTACAGGAATTACATTTTTTAAACTGGTACAGGGAAGCATCGGAATGCCAAAATTGTTTCCTGATATAACCAATATCTATTCAATTTGGCGACTCTTCACTGCAGTTCCTGTCCTTGTAACAGCATATGTTTGTCATTTTAATGGTAAGCCGACAGAATTATTCACTCCATTAGATATGTCAAATTCTTTGTTTTGTCAAGGTTTTAGAAGAAAGGTCTGATTAATAATTACCATCCGTGAGTGAAAATCAAAGAATTTGTATTTGATTGATGTCATCTGGCTTTGAGCTTATGTCTTCATGAATATTGTGTCCTTGTCAAGGTTGGAAAATTCTGTTCGTGAAAATTATGGCATGCACCAATTAAAATAGTTGGGCTCTTGGTACTTTGTCTGATTAGATTGGACACAATGAAGTAGGATTTCATTTTGTTGCTATGATGGCATCCCGAATAAGCTGAGCCTGGCTCCAAAATTTTCTGTTTTCACACACAATTAAGATTGTGGATTTAGTGCATTAAACTAATAGAACAGTTCTGCTTGAATTTTCTGCAGTGCACAACATTGAAAATGAGCTTGAGGACACTTCCTTGATACAGCCCATAATACGAACATCACTGGCTGTGTGCTCTGCAATTTATATTTTGACAAGTTCATTTGGTTTCCTTCTTTTTGGGGATTCTACTTTTGACGATGTGCTTGCCAACTTTGATACGGACCTTGGTATACCGTATGGTTCAGTACTCAATGACATAGTTCGTGTCAGCTATGCTCTGCACCTTATGCTTGTTTTCCCGGTTCTGTTCTTTCCACTTCGACTGAATCTGGATGGACTACTCTTTCCATCTGCTGGCCCTTTGGCTACATCCAAGTATAGGTTCCCGTTAGTTACATTGGGGATCAATCTTGCCGTTTTCCTTGGTGCCAATTTTATTCCCAGCATTTGGTATGTTTTCCAATTTAGTGGCGCATCTGCAGCGGTTTGCCTGGCTTTCATCTTTCCTGGTGCCATTGCTCTGAAGTAAGAACCTTTTTCTTTTCATATGTTCCCAGATTCTACGGCAAGAAAAATTTTCTGGAGCGATAGCTCATCATCATTTTATATAATTTGTTTATTATGTATAGAGATGTTAAAAATTTTAGTATGGATTTGGATGCTTTTATGGGATTTTTGGATATGCTCTTGATTACAGCCTGCTTATGAATAAACTAATCCTGGTGAAAGATAATAGTTGAGGCAGTTTCAGTTTCTTAGTCATCTTTTCTTGATGATGGGGAAGGGAGCTGCATATGTGCAACATGGGAATAGAAACCAGCCGACTTTTTGGGGTAGTGTACATTTGCAACCACCATGCCAGATCTCACTCTCAATAAATTTTTCATGTTAAGATCTTTCCTTATAGAAGGATGTTATTAAACGCTTTTGTTTTCCTGCTGTTTTACTTGTTCTGTGCCACTATTTTGTTCCCACGTGAAATATTAACAGTTGGGTTGGTGCTTTGTTCTTCAGGGATGTTGACCTCATAGCCTCCCAGAATGACAAGGTCTTGTCGATTTTTATGATTGTTCTAGCTGTGTTTGCAGCTGCTGTGGCTATATACAGTGATGTTCACGCATTGTTCACGAAGAACGAAGTCACTAGTGTACGAACTCTGGTTTGGGGATTCCAGTAAATGTTGCCTGATGAAGCATGTGTTTGTGGCAAATGATTCAAACTTCTTTTATAGTTCATAGAACTGAGAATTGCGAGTGCTTCCAGTATTTTTATGATCAAGAATGAAGCACCGCACAAACTCTCAACCAAAATAGTCGCTTCAGATACTTCTGTAAGATGTAAGATGTAATGAATGTTTCATATCTGTGATTCAGACTGAATTGGCTTATTTGCCTGATAGAGTACTCTTTTTCCAGTTCTTGCTTTTACTCCCTCCAACCCAAAATAATTGTCCATTTCTGCAAAACCATAATCCATGGCTAAATGTTTGTATTGTGTCTGATTAGGCCCCTCGTAGATCCCTCTGCAATGCACTTGAAACTGAAACTTTAAATGTCGTGGTAATGAGAGACCAAAGTGAACTTGCACACGCTTTTACTTTATGTAACTTTGGAACTCTGCAATTCGTACATTTGCTTCTAAGCAGGAAACAGAACAGTGCCAAAAAGGTAAATGGCTTCAAAATTTTGAAACTATAAAGATTTACAACATATCCTCCCAAAAATTGTAGCAGTGAGGAAAATTCACTATTACCCTCTCAGAAAAGTAGGGAAAAAAAATTACTATCATCTCTGCATTGGAAAATGAGTGTGAAATTTCCTATCTTAATTTGTTAGTGGACATCATTCCTCACCGAAGTTGGAGGAAATGATCTCAAAAATCTACTCGCCGCATGTTCTCGGAGTTTTACTTCTCATTCTTGAACTTGTGGCTAAACCAATCCGGGCAGTAGACCTCTGAGATTATTGCATTTGCAGCACCATGTGGCTGATTAGGTCTCAACACAGTGTGGAGACTCCTATACTCAACATATATACAAACGACGAAACTGCCCCATTGAGAACTTCGTGTAGAGGGGACATTACCATCCTGGACATCTGCTTTCAACTTCTTAGTCTTGAAAGAGCAAGCTGTGGGTGCTTGCCCTGTCCATCCATTATCCATGACCAAACGTTGGAAGAACCATTAAAATGGATGACATAGCTGCAGCTGTCAGGTAATGAAAGAGAAAAGCTTCACTAAAAACCCGAAGCATGTGTACCCTAGTTGAAGAAGTATGGAGATTCTAGAACTTCTCTCAAGTCAAACTCTCCACGTTCCGGTAAAGGAGGAAATTTCAATTTAGGAAATGACTTCTGAAAGTCATCCAGCAACTGGGAGAAGAAAAACAGAAAAAGAATGAGTCAACATAATGCACACGGCAGGGATTCATTGAAATGCAAATCACCGTAGCTACAATTCTACTTACATTCTCCAAAATTGGTGCTTCATATAGTTCGACAAATTTCTCTCTCAGAATCCTGTTCATTTGATCAACATCGCATGCATGCGTCCAGTATGAATCATGCACTCCTGTAACACGTCAATAAGGAAACCCTTTTAACAGTCGAGTCTCAGGAAATAACATATAGTTCACAGGCATGGATCTGGTACAACAAAAAGAACTAAGGTCCAAACCTGCAAAATTTAAGCCTGCTTCTCTACAAGCAATGGCAGTCATCATCATATGAGAACCATCCAGGGAATGAACAAAATTTGGAGGAAAAGCTGTTCTCTGCCGCTTCACCATAACCTATGAAAAAATATAAAACAACTTACTGTCAGTATCTCAGCTGCCGACAATTGTTTTGTCTCTATTTCAAATAACAGAGAAGTGGCATAGTTCAAGTAAGAAACTGGATCTTAAAGAACATCAATTTTTCCAAATAGATCTTCTGGATTATCTATTTACTTTTATTTCGATAAGGCATGTAGAAGGGGATCCAAACAGCACATAGTGCCACGAATAACACCAACTATAAAGCTTCAAGGGGGGAAAAAAGAATAATTAAACAGGTACCTTGTCAGTTTCTCTTTGCAATGTTAAAACCTGAAGAGATGTTTTAACCTAAAAAATCCAAAATAGAATTAGTCAATTCGCATAATCTATATGCATAACTCACATTATCAGATAACAAATAAGTAAAAGGTCATAACAAATTCAATGAAAGAATAGATTATGTAATAATTACAAGATGTCTTCCTATACTGCGGTAAGGTTGCACAACAGGAAGCCCAAGTTGAGTAGTCCATTGAACTGGTTGATTTTCCATGGCTATGATCTGCAAATGTTCAGATAAAACATCACTGACAGGAAATGTAGTCGCATTTAAAGCTCTGGATTTTTGTCCGTATGAGCAAAATTTGAAGTTTCTTTCTTTTTCTTAAATCCATTTGATGACAAATCAAAAACCCCTTGCATAAAACGTTTTATGGTAGACCATTTCAAGTACTCCTATTCTCTTTTACAACAGCTATCTTGATTTTATTACACTCCATCTTGCGGGGCAACCTAACAGTATGTAACCACTCCATAATAAGTACTATAACGACTTCTGTCAGTAAAAGTAGAAGATACAACCGCGGCTGTGCAAATTCTTACTCCCCAAGTTACCAGTAATATAATCAGAACAGCAAACAATATCACATGTATGTTTGAACTCAACAATATTTTAATCTTTTTCCAACACCAGGACAGAAAACCAACGTGTAACATTTCTTGTCAACATCACAAAGACCCTCGTAAACATCACAGGAGTAGTTAAAGTTTCACATCAGGAATTGACAAGCATATCCAGAATTTAATTTGTTCAAACAATTTGCTCCAGCAAAAGCTAGGAAAGATGTGAATCTGATAATACCTTTGCACAGTCACCAAGCCAATTCATGATGCCTCTGGCTGCTTCAAACATCTCTCCTAAGGCAGTCAAGGTAATCTGTTTGCGAATAAAAAATACGCTCAAAATTTATTTCTTCAACATTGGGAACTTAAGCAACGTATCAAAGTTAAGTGATATCAGTTTCCTTACTTTTGCAGCATAACAAGCAGCAGCAAACACCTCATCATTATCTTCAATTGCATTTCGCTCCTTCAATCTCCTCATGATTTGATCACGAGCACCAATATAAGTGACACCATAGACTGATGTCATCACTGTTTGCTTCACCAATTTCCTGTCAACCTGACCATGACGAGATTTAGCAATTATTGGTCAATTATAAAGTAGAAAATGCAGATCTTAAAGAGGCAGACTCCATTGCAGATGTACAATTATTTGTTGGAAATATGAAAGCTAAAATTGTATTGGACCAGATCCAAAACCATTCAGGTACTCATACACACATTTGTCTGCTATTGTGATGCATATTTAATCAAATGGCACCTGGTTAATGAGCAGCCTGGCCCGCATCACATTAGCATCAGTTTCAGGATCTTTAGCCGCATCTCTCTGCATGATTTCTAGAACTCTGGGTATGAAAACAAAATTAAATAGCACCAGTTAATACACCAATACCTAAGGCAATGTATGATTAAAACATAACCTAAAGTATCAACTCAGAGAAAATCAGGCAACTAAAGAAGAGGATTGCCCCTGACACAGGGAAAGCTGAAGCAAACCCATCTTAAAAAGCTTTGAGGAATTAACAACTAATTCAATCACTGCTCGCGAAGCATAAACACTTTCAAGTTATAAAGTCAATTGATTAACAACAAATTCAAACATGTAAAAAGCTTTGAGGAACTAACAACTAATTCAATCATCACTGCTCATGAAGCATAAAAACTTTCAAGTTATAAAATCATTTTGTAAGTATCCGCATAGTTTATCCAGCCCCAAGCCAAATACTGTAAAAAAGAAGTCGTAATGGTAAGGATAACAATAACCATGGGACAAACCGTCACTAAGGCTAAACTCCCAGCACATGACGCAATTGATTAAGCCAGTTCACATGTAATTGCAACAGTTAATTTACTGTAACAGGCAGATGCTGCACCTTAAGATCGATGAAATACCAAAAAATTGCCGTCTCATTGAAATGGCAAAACAAGTAATGGGGGAAGAGAAAGATGGGGGTAAAGCCACAGAATAAGCATTTGAAGTCCAGCTCACCTGGCAGCGATTCCAGAGTAAACATCTGCAGGCTTTTCTCCAGCCACAAGATTGACTGCAATCGCTCCTAGCTAAACAGATGTAGGCCATGTATGTGAGTTATATAGTTTGCATTCAGATTATAGTTAAAAAGTTTGCATCAAAAAAGGAGCCATATTTTACTACAGTTAATATGTGTAACCTGGTTAGTTACTTTAAAGCAAAGTTGAAGCTGGTAAAAAAAAAGACGAAGAATTGAGAGAGAGAGAGAGAGAGAGAGAGAGAGCCATAATCAACTGAATGATCAACGAAAATAATTGGAGGTAAACAATATCATACAATTTGGAACATAGCTTGAAATCGAATCCCTTCAAAACCTTCACAAGTTTAAATAAGATGGTGGAAAAAAACATACTTACACACTCTTGTTAGAAAACATGTATCAAAGTCTGACAAAAATTCCAACAGATTAACAAAGATAAGTTTTAAGCATAGAAGCATTTCAGTCTTTTGCTCTACTGACTAGAAAGATATACTCAAATAAATTATCTAAATGCATCATGAAAAATACATACCAATACATCTACCTAACCAAGCCAACAATAACTCAAGTTCCTCTTTAGAAGAATGGCAACACTTATTGCTAATGCTATATAGAAGTTTATAATTGCAGTTGTGTCTTGTAAAATAAAATGTGAAATCAATTGCGACGAGAAAAATTTACCTTATCCCGCCCAAGAGCAGCATAATGTTGCAGGCCATTGCACGAACCATCCTAGAGATAAGGAAAAGGAAAACTAGTAAATACAAGGTTGGACATTACTTTTGGCAATGATGTACCAAGGCAATCTTGAACAGCGGAAAACATAAAGAGCACACAGGCACTAATTCAGAACAGATGCAAATATGTGGACAGGCCCAAAATACAGAGATGAGATCGTGCAACTTCATTGCAACTTTGGAACTATAAAACTTTTTACCTGATGGATAGGCATATGTGATATGGTAGTCTCAGGAGATGGGCTTCGCAATGCTTCTGAAAGATTTATACATGTGGCTAAGCATTGGAAAGGATCCTCTGCACCCAACCACCACCTTTTTCCTTCAAGAGGCCTGTCTGCAGAATCAAATATGTCCTCCAGATGGTTTTCGGAAAATGCTACCCGACCTTCATAAGATAACTTGTCAACACCACCACCAAATACATTTGCTAGGTGTATCTTTAACCACCTTAAGCCTGACTTTCCTAGTGGACGCCCCTGAGCAAATTCAAGTATTCCACGGCAGAGATCAGAGCCGAGATGGTTCAAATGCGGATGCATGGGGTAAGCACGGCCACGAAAATCAAGATTATGCGGATAAAAGAACCCCTCCTCATCCTTCATTTTGCGAGCAACCTGTTCCCAAGGGTGATCAGGTCCCTATGATGACTCCACATAGTTAACTATTAAGATTCGGGAATTTTGTAAGAAAGCAACTTACTGCAAGTTTCAGTTCTATATCACACCGCTGTGAGTGCCTCTCAAGGTTTTCTTTTTTCACAGATTTACATTTCCATTTCCACTTCTTGATTTCTTTTTCATCTTCTGTGTCTGGCTCTTCCGGCAAAGGGATCTATTTTGGCAATGGAAAAGTCGATTAAAACAATAAATGACATGTCCAATACCAGTTGGGGAAGTAGAACTACATTTGAGAAGTATTTATATTAACATGCTGAAGATGTGATAAATATAAATTGTACCTTTGAATTACCAAAGAACCAAAAAGGCCACAAACTTTAAGCATTCATAAGAAGAGGGGGAATCAATAAAAGCTAGCAAAAAGATGATCCAGAAACTCTTATCTACTTTAATTCTTTTCACAAAAGCCAGAATTGTGTTGTGGTTCATAACATGCATATCCAAAGAATACACTTTTGATTTTTCCCAACTCAATCATAGAACTTATAACGATAACATGAGGGACTATAAGAAGATTAATAATATTCTAGGGGCTCACATCATCACGATCAACTAAATCTGCAATACGGCCTCCATTAGCCCAAATACGATCAATTACAGCCAGCACCCTTTTATTCACCCTCCATTTGGTACTGCCAAGAGTATCAAGAGCCTGAGGAAAAGAAAACATATAAAACTCGGTTTAAGTCAGATAGTCCTACCAAAGTGATCGAGATTGACTCAACTATACAGTTGCTTCCACTTATTGGAAAAGCATCAACTAACTAAACAATAGTATAATTTCACAGGGTAAAAAACTTGTAGTTCCCAATCCTTCCAATAAAAGATGTAATAGGTTTCTAATTTTCCTGGGCAAATATCAAACTGACTCAAGCATGTATATTCATCTACTCTATCACTGCGGTAACCAACATTTCACCCAAAACAAAATTCGTCACATGAAGTACTCCATTAAGACAAACTAATCGAAGAACCATGGGTACCCTCATTAGCATGAAGCTTTGCAGTAGGCGCAAGAAATAGAAAATGAAATACGGATGCATCACACCTTAAAAACCGGTTCTAACTGCTTCTTGGGAGTTCTTTTAAGAACTTCTCGTTGCTGTTTTGCTCCATGTGTACGCATGACATAGGATGGCAAAAACAAATGTGCACCTTTGTCATAACTGTAAAACATAGAATTACATTAGTTTAGTTAAGCAACAAATTGCAATTTCAGTTGACAATCCAGAAACATCAGTGTAACGGAAGAAAGAAGCCCACCCAATTCACCAGGAAGGTTGATAAAAGAAAGCAAGACAGAAAAGGGGAAAAAAAAAAAAAAGAAAAGAAAAATAAAGGCCAGTTCAATCACAGTATCTATATACAAGTTGTACGACCAAATCTAAGCTTAGCAATGCAAGTACATGAAAATAATATCACGGAGAGTAGAATAACATTCAAACAATTCCACCTACTGTATACAAAAAAAGGGAATCAAATAGGCATTAAAGCTTCTGAAGGGATCATTATATGAAGAAAAGGAGAATGCAAAGACATGAAATAGAACCAAAAAGCAACTACACAACAATCAAACTAATCTTGGGAAATGAAATCTCAATCTGATGTACTGAAAGTGAGAAGATATACATACCCAGTCCAGTTCAGGGGAGGGACCAGCATCGGCATATATGGAATCACTACGTGTTTGGCCTGTTCAAAAGAAGCCACAAAGATTCCTTATCCAATCAATCATTTGCAAACATAATAGATAATTACAAGGAAACCACGGGGAGTGGTGGGACAGGGTGGGAAGGATTGGGGAAATTAGAGAACTAGAAGATATTGGTAGGTCACTGAAAAGCATTAAAGATGAAATATGTTGCACTTACAGTATTCTCCAAGCCCTTCCGCACCAGAGGATCACACTCAATCACACCATATCTCTTGTTCCCGCTCCTTTTAAATTGAGAGCAAGGAAACGTTTTAGCACAATAGAGAAATGTGGTGATTATTTTTTATAAAGAAAACATTTGAGGGGTCCCAAGGAAAAATAATATAGGAATCATAGAAGCTTGACTCACGGTGTGTCAACAGTTTTAAGCACATGCATAAATGCAGGGCGAATATCAGGAGAACCATCTTCCTGCTGACCTAGTGGAGGCTGTATATACGCTGTTTCAATCAAAATCTGAATCAAACGGCTGCCAACCTGGAAAATTTCAACATAATACAATCAACTCACAATGAGCTTATGATGATAACTCTTTCCAAGGATTTAACCAAAAACTCATGTTGAAGAAAAAAAAAATCATGTTGATCATGCTGGATGACAATCTGAACAGGGAACAAAAGAAATTAGATGTGCAATGAACAAACCTTAGCTTGGGCATCCTGACCCCAGGACTTTAAATCATCATGATGCTTAACTATTTCTCTCACTTGATGCAGCTTTTGTTTTTTCATCAGCATATTGATTTTTTTTCTAAGCTTCTCTTCTTCCTTAGCTTGGGATTCAGTTCCTTCAGAATTCTTATTCAATGAATTCTTCCTTTTAGTCTTCTCCAGGAACCTGTGTATTCTAACCTGTTCGAGAATACAAACTATGTCAACATCTTTACAAACTACAAAAGAAGTTCCCGACTCAAACAAATGCAAAAAATCAATCCCCTTGATATTATCGTTTTCCTTCTACGCAATCCTGAATCATGCCTAATGTCACCAATAAAGGGGTTAGAAGCAAATGAAAACGGGAATGGGCTCATGCAAACTGGAAAAAGGGAGCAACATCTGGTGAATGACTTCAAAGAAGTTGAATAAATCTTGCACACAACCACTCAACAAAAAATTAAGAGAATCAAATTTACCACTAACTGTAAAAAACATGCACTTCATGGTAGGCCAAAAATTATCAGAATCTCTACAAATCATGAAAGGCATCGTAAACCAAATGTTCGTCGCGGCAGTTTTGGCACAAGGAGCCAAGATCACCACTTTTGCACGGAAATCCAAGGTGCCCAGAAAAATGGAAAGAGATTATCAAGAAAGACATGATTTATTAGACTTTTAAAGTGAATAAATGTCCTTTCACAGCACAATGGTGAAATGTGCCGAGCCCACATAGTGTATAATGAAGGCTAAGTTGTTGTGGATGCTAATTTGCACAAACATGTAAAGTTCAACAAGCATCCATGTGTTCACATACTCATGCTTACAATGTTGAAACGACTGTTGCAAAGTTTGAATATTCAGCATGGGCATCTCTACAAATTACTCGACATAAAATCCGACTGGCAAAGACACCAAATATAAAAGCTAGAGAATTCAACATTGAGTCCTAAGAGCAGGAAGAAATTACTTTTTTAAAACTCATAAGAACAATGAATTGCTTAATATACCCACCTCATTCTCAATCGCTTCACCAATACTCAATGAAGCTTTAACCACTCTAGTATTAGCATGACCTCCCCCAGCCATCAACAGTCCCATCAGGTTATGCATAGTAATAACTGCCATCTTGTCAGCAGGCAATAAATGGAAATAAGGAGCGTAATTCGCCTTGTTCTTTCCTTCTGCACATGATACTTGGTCAGCTTCTATAGCATCTCTCAATGGCTCAAACCAACCTAAAAACAATGACTTTATATAGGGCAAATTGGGCGCCAACTTTTGTTCACACATATCCTCCAAAAGTTCCTGGTATTCCTTGGCTGCCTCTTCCCAAGCCTCAGTCTCCGTCTTCACCTGTCTTTTCCTGAGGGCATAGTATTTCCCCATCCCCAATCCACCCACCACTTTCTGCTGCTTCTGTGGGCGATAATTCTCCTCCTTTGGAATGCCCTGCTTTTCCATTTCCTCAAGTAATTCCTGAATTTCATCTATATCTTCCTCTGAAGTCGACACGATTGCCTCAGCTGCAGAAGCATATCCCCTACCACAAAAACCTAAAGGGTTGCTAAAATACATGGATTTTGTATGAAAATCATCCCTTGTCCGCATCAAGATTGAATTTTGAGGCAAACCCAATCCTGAATCTTCACAACTGATGTGATTTCTACCGCCAAATCGCAGGACTTTACTGCCGCCAATAAGGCTAGAACCGTGACTAAACTTTGTCGCTGCAGATGCAGATGAAGAGGGAAAACAATGAGCCTCCGAGAAGAAGTTTATCTTCCTGGAAGAAGCTTGTTTTACTAAATTTCTCCACATGTTTCAGTGGATTTACAATGTGCAAAGAAAGAATCTGATGAATATACTAAAAAAGGAAATTTTCTATACAACAACAATGGGAAACAGGGCATCACTTTGAAGGAGTTTTGATCAGCATCAGAGGCTGAACAATAAGCCCTTATTGATGAAGTGGAGATTGTTATTCGAAGATTATTGAGATGAAGAAAAATGGGGTGAAGACAGAAACAAACACAAAGAAGCCGCCTTTGAAACCTATAAACCCTGCTAAAAACCTTTCTTGTGTTTTCAGGTTTCATCAGTTCCCTAAGGACCCTAACTGTATTTTCTGTATTTTTACCTCATGCACCCCCAATTGTTTCTGGAATACAAATCAGTCCCTTCTCTTTCTTGATGTAGATTGACACCTTACTAATTCTGAGACTCTTTTACTGTCATACTTCTTTTGTTCCGAAATGATTGTCAAATTTGCACTTCTACTTTTATTATTAATTGTACTAAAATTATTAAGAATTCAAATTAGACAATAATTATGAGACAGATAGAGTATTTTTTGGTACAGGGTTTCTTTTCTCTCGCTCAAGTTATTCTTTTTCACCCCTTATTTCTTCAGGTAAATACAGCTTCAAGTTATATTAACCCAACTGTTTTCCTATTCCACCGAAAGTTCATTTTTAACCATTGATTTTTCATTTTTGTTGATAAAATAGGAAAAACAAAAGTCTAATAAACTAATTACATCAAAACCTTGTCTCACCAAAAATTAGTTTGACCAGTTGATTTAAACAATGATTAATGAATAATTATATAAATGATCATCTTTTACTGTTAATTTAATTTGGATAATGAAGAATATATTTGACTTGAACTGGGTAATATTCACATATCTAGTTATATCAGCAGCTTGTTTGATGTGGAAATGAAGGGTAACCTGTAGACTATAAAGGTGCTGTGAATGATATATATCTCAACAAAATTTTTCAGGTGTGAAACTATTCCTTACCAAAATTCAATAGTATTACAATCAATACTACTTTCTGATAAACTTTTCCTTATTGTCCTATATCTTTTCAGACTTTATATCTGCTAAAATTTTTATGGCAATCATGCCGAAAAGAATGCTCAAACTGAAGCACATTTCTTATTCACTCCAGGGATCGTTCTCTGTTCTCACTTCTGATGGTTCAATGACTTGGGTCTCTGAGCCTTCTGACTCTGTCGCACCATAACTGTCGCCAGATGACTCGCTCTCTCCTTCTTCCAGTCTGCCCCATCTTCCTCCCACGGCCATCGACATCATTTCATAAATCTTGTTACCCAACTCTGCTGGACTATCAGGCTGTCCCAGGAATCAATACATTCATGTTAGACTATGTTTAATTATGTCAAGATTCAGTGCTGCGAAACAGAAGCAAGAAAATCTCAACACTTACTGTGAAACCACTGGAGATCAATGCAGTGTCATACAAGAGTTCAACAACTCTCTTTGCATCTTTGCTATCCGGAGCATTCTTGCATGCCGCCTGCACCAGAAATCGTGCACAAATCAACTAAGGAGCTCAAAGCACGAAGTTTTAGCACACATCAAGTTTCCCAAGTCAACTTTGAACCCTCCTATATCCTAATATTCACAGTAGCCTCCACATATTATATGTAATTTGATTCATATTGACACAAAATTGAAGCAACTTACATTTAGGTCCTTGATGATTGGATGGTCTGGATTAATTTCCAATATTCTCCTGCCCCTCATGAACTCTAAGCTTGTCTGATCACCCAGGGTTTGAGCTTTCATTAACCTGTTCAGGAGATTAAATATAAATTCAACTCCCTTTTTGACACAGAAGAAAACCTTCAAACATAGGCTGTAGCGATATAATAAAAATACCTTAACCGTACCTTTCCATGTTAGCAGACCAACCAAACTTGCCAGAAACCAGTACACAAGGCGAAGAGCTTAATCTTTTTGAGATTTGAACTTTAGCCACCTGATCTCCAAGCTGCTGCTTTATCCAGTCACAAAGAAGATTATACTCTTGCTTTGTCTCCCTCTCTTTCACTTCATCCTCATCACCTGCAAACAAACAAAATAAGGTAAAATGTTAGATTTGAAACAATAATCCAGTAAGCCTGTAGAACTAAGTGAACAAGCTAACTAACCAAGCTCCAAATCTTCCTTGCTGATGTCAACAAACTTTTTTTCCTTGTATGTCTGTACATTCTGTATAGCAACTTCATCAATTGGATCAATCAGGTACAATACCTGCACGATGGCCAACACAAGAATTCTTAGATATATCCAGGAATGAATGATATGATCCAAAAGAGAAGCCATTACACATTCTTTAAGGAACCCAGAACCTAATGATAGAATATAGAATACCATCACCCGAGAACCTGTCTGTCAGGCAGCTCCAACGGTCTATTCCATTATGATCCAAAGTTTTAAAAAGTAAAAGCACGGCTGGCTCCATGTTATAAGAAGGGCATGGTAGACTACTTTATAACAAGTAACCAAGCAAAGATATTCATACAGAATTAAAATGAAGTTTCCAAAAAAATAAATAAATAAAGAGATGACTAAGGATTCATTAATACCTCAATATCCTTTTGAACCAATTTCTCCAAGAAGGGTGCTGTCTTGGCACTTTTTAAGCTATCTGTTGCCAAATAATAAATTGCATTTTGTTTCTCACCCATGTTCTCAATGTAATCGTCTAAACTAATCAAGTCTTCCTCACTTTTGGAAGAAAGGAATCTCAACAGAGGAGTTATCCTCTTGTGATTGCCAGAGTCTTCAATACATCCTAATTTCAGGAATTTGCCAAAGTTCTCCCAGAACTTCTTGTAATCCTGAAAATATGAGCAGTCCAAAAACATCAGGAACTGTCAGCAGAGGAGAAGATCTTAAAAGAAACTGGGATATAAACCCAAAAAGTACAATCAAACCTGCTTATCCTCAGTCTCAGAAAGATCCTGAATCATATCAAATGTTTTTCTCACGAGTCGCTTCTTCATTATTCTTACCTAAAACATCAAAAAGGGCAATCTTCATCAATAATAATAATAAAGGTTTTTAGGAACATTGCAAAAGTCATAATAAAATGGCTTGTGTGCATGTGAAAGGGCTCAAAAAAATTTATACATGTAAATGATAAATGCTTTGCCCTTACAATGCGGCTTTCCTGAAGTATCTCTCTGGAGACATTAAGAGGAAGGTCATCTGAGTCCACCACCCCTTTCACAAAGCTCAAGTATCTTGGAAACTGTATGAACATATTCATGAGAAACCCAATCATCAGCAAGATCATTATGATATTACAATATCACCCCCAAATGAGGGTGAAAAGAAACTTGTTTACGACATGAAACTCCACGAATTCTCAAACATTAAAGTTAACCAAAGCAATATTCGGAGAAGGTGATATCCTAGAAATTCTCTGAAAAGTCATGAAACTCCCAAATCCTCTTGAACACAAATTTTATTATACATCACAGGGAAAGATAATTACTTAATTTATACAAAGAACAGCTCAGCATGAAATAGAAAACAGATTAGGTTGTATCAGTAGTCAGTCCAGATAGATGGAATGTTGATACGGACAATTATGGCAGAGGTTTTGGCAAATCACATAAATCACATAAACCACATAAGAACACAAGATATGCACATTATAGGTACTATAAAAGCCTTACCAATTCACCATCAAAGTCATCTGAAATGAAAACTCGTTTGACATAGAGACGGATATTCTTTGTGTTGGGGTTAATTACATCCTCATTGCTGAGAGGAGCCATACCAGGGATATATAGAATACTTCTGAATTCCACCTCACCCTACAAATCAAGAACACACGGTTAAAAAAGTTCATCAACAGTATCAATCGGTTGTACATATGATGAAGCATCGTATACCTCGGTAGTGAAATGGGTATGTGCCATGGGATCCAAGAATTCATTGAATGTCTTCTTGAAGAATTCATTGTATTGTTCTTTCTCAACTTCCTTTGGATTACGCATCTGCAACCAACAAGAAACATGATGAAAGTTATGTTAGACAACAATGGCACGAAGGGAAAATAAAAACCAGATGCTGCAATTTCAGCAAAAGTTTATATACTCACCCATATGGGCTTTGTCTCATTGCTCAACTCCCAATCCCAGTATTTCTCAGTGATGGTCTTTTTCTTCTTGGGCCTTTCACCCTGAAAAATTTTTTTGAACAAATTATTAGCTACAGTTTCCTCGTAAATGTAAAAAGTACGGTGCATTATCTACTACAGGTAGAACACTCACTTCTGGTGTTTCTTCTCCCTCCTTTGGTGGCTCTTCTTCTTCTACCTGATAAATAAAGTAGAAACCCAAATCAAACGAGGACATAAATTAGAAAGTGAAATAGTTACTTATCAATTAAATGTAATAAGATGCAATATGACAACCAGGTGAAATTATGTGTTACAGTCACAGAACTTTTTACAACGAGAGTGAGCGTAGTATGGACATTAGTAAAATAGAGACAAACACTTCCACTTAGTCATACCAGCAATTCCAGACCCTCAGAAGGGACCATATCCCATGACATTCAATAAAAAAAAAAATGTCCAAGTACTCCGAAAACCATACCCTAAACTAACTACCTCCACATAAAACATAAAAAATCTACGGGTTGAAAGAGAATTAGGAGCAGAAGCAAACCTCGACATTCCTTGATTTTTCCAGCCATACATAGATGGGGAATGAAACAAACTGGGAGTAGGTCTTCACCAAATTCTGAATTCTTGTAGGCTCAGAGAACTCATACTTGTCATCCTCCTGCAGAAGCCAAAAAAAAAAAAGAAAGAAATTAGGTTTATCAAGTTCCTACAATACCTCTATCCTACAAGAAATTAGGTTTATCAAGTTGCTATTCTCCCTCTATCCTACAACACCTTTGCCATAGAATGGTGAAAGGATTGCCCCAGGCACCTACAGGGATAATAAAATAACAGGAAACTACTCTGAGGTAGTCACTTTATCATTTGGGGAGTTTGAGAGCAAGGTGATAAACAGATGGACAGCACATTAGCAAAAAGTAGCAAGATAAGGGAAGAATTAGATTACCCTCAAAAATAGAGTGATTTGTGTTCCCCTAGTCAAGAGTTTTTCAGGATCAGTTTCCTCCCTAATCACATATGAACTGCTGTCAGCCTCAGCTTCCCAAACAAATTGCTTATCAGACCTTGGACTTTTCGTGGACACGACCACCTGATTTAAAGAAATTAAACTCAGAGAGTTACTGACCAGAGCCAAACAAAACATTGCGCAATAGCTGACCAAAAAGATCAGTAAGGCTCTACCTTTTGAGCTACCAAAAATGCAGAATAGAACCCGACCCCAAATTGACCAATTAAACTATTGTCAGATCCGAGGTCCTTGTTTTCCTAACAATAAGGAAAAAGAGTTTCAGATTCAAAAGAAATCAATGTAGTAATTAAAATGTCGAAAATTATAAATTCAGAGGAGTTTTAAGTAAAACTACCTTAAGGGCTTTCAAGAATTTAGAAGTACCACTCTGAGCAATGGTTCCTAGACAGTCTATGAGTTCTTCTTTTGTCATGCCAATCCCAGTGTCTCTGCATACAGAAGAAAATTCCAGTAAACTATGTGAACCCTTCATAAATACATTACTTTAAAGAAATGAATAGATGAATAGTACGTTATGGTGATGGTCCCATTGTCTGCATCGGGTTTAATGCGAATCTCCAGCTCACCAGAATCACCAAGAAGACCAGGTTCCGTCACACTTAAAAACCTCAACTTGTCGAGAGCGTCACTAGCATTACTGCAAGGAAGCAGTCGGGGTCAGGTAAAATATTATGAAAAAAGCTAAGCCAGTTCACCTACGAGTTCCCCTTGTTAAGAAAAGTTCCACTATCTCTTTGTAACCTCAAATAATAGAACAACAATGGCATGTTTCAGAACTGACCCATACATGTTAACTATAGCTAAAAATTAAACAGTATGCAGTATGCATAAATTTTACAAGCTAAAGAGCTGAGTATGAATGACAGGATTGAGATAACATCACCTCACAAGTTCTCGAAGAAATACTTCCTTGTGGCTGTAAAGACTGTGAACAATCAAGTCTAACAAGCGACTAACCTGTAATTAACCAAAAATGTAATTTCAAAAACCCTCACAGGCAAGCTTATACAAGAAAACAGAAATGATAATACAAATAGCCCGTGCTTTTCTTTCATCAGCACCTTTGGAGAACTAGACAAGCTCAAAGGGAGAACTAGATAAGCTGCTAAAATGACATTCAAAATTCAATCTTTACAAATATCACTTTTTGGGGTGACCGCGTACAACCTTTTGATAAAAGGAAGGTGTATTCTGATTCATACAAGTAATTCTTCGAAATAAAACATCCAAAGCCTAAACTTTGATGGCCTTTCAATCTTATTGGTTCGTTGGTTCCAAAGTTCCAGAAGAACAGAATTTTCAACACAATCTAGATTATGAATACCAACGAAACATTAAAAGACTAAAAAACAAACCTCAGCCTGGTACTCGTGGGTTTCGCCGGGCGTTTCAGTAGCCTCCTTTTCAGCCACAGCAGCACCCCCTTCGCACTTAACCACCACTCTGCTTTCTGTCTTCTCCAGCCTCCATCTTAACCCGGACTTCCCAAGGTTACTACTTCTCAGCCCATTTCTAGGCAAAAAAGAACTTCCTAGTAAACCCAATCCATTTCTAGCACTATTCACGGAAAACGAAGTCTTTTGGTAAGGGACCGAAGCAACAGAAGCAGATGCCACACTTCTACTCAATACAGGGGCCATAGTTGAAAAAAACCCAGATGGGATTTTCACTTCTAGTCTGTATTTTATTTCAGCAATAGCCAATTTCTCTACGGAAACAACAATGAGTTGACTACGGCAAAAAAGGGTTCTTTTCAAAATATGAGTTTGGTTGGTTTAGTTGAGAAGTGAAGATGAGGTGAGTGCGGGACTGTGTGCAAAACTAAAAACCCTTTTAAGGCAGAAGGTGGTATTGGGGTTTAAGCCTTAAAGGGAAGAGATTGGAGGGTTCTAGAATTGAGAATTGCAAATTGAATAGGGGAGGTTTTGTTTGGAACTTTGTGTTCGAGAATTCTAAGGTTTGGATTCGGCCATGTCAGCAACAACAATATCTTCACACTTTTTGAGTTTCTTTTTCCCCGGAAATGTTGGTTAAAAATACTACTAAATGTTAATAATAAATTACATAATGTTTGGTCTCAAGGAAGTCTTAATAAGACGACCATAATGATCTTATATTGTGCAGCAAATAACATAAAATTTCAGTGTCTTTCATTTAAAAAAAAAAAAGATAGAATTATCCTCTCATTGAACTAGATTATTTATTCGAACGCAATTTTAACATATTGTTTTGGTATAATAAAATAAGCAAACTTGTTACGGAGGTTAATGTATTAATATGTTTTACAGTTTACTCATAGTAAAAACTCTTGTACTAGTGCTTATATTTAGCACATATTTTCGATGGAATAAAACAACACAACCGGGAACCCTAAATTGGGGTTTTCACTCGGCCTTCCTGTCATGGTATCATAGTAGGAACGTTGCTGCCGTTGCTGAGTTTTTCTTCATTAATTTTCGCCAATCAAATTCAGTTTTCTTTCGTTGTTGATCATTACGAACAGCACGCCCGATGATTCTTTTCCTTCTGGTGAAAAGACAGTTACTCCCAATGAGGGCCTTGTCCGCCGCAAAATTATTTCTCCTTATGATCTTTATTCCAATGATCAACCCCGCATTTCTATTACTCAAGTTGTTTTGAAAGGTGATAATTACGTTGAGTGGTCTGCTGCCATTCGTACAGCCCTTCGTGCTCGAAACAAATTTGGTTTTATAGATGGTAAAATCCCGCAACCTTCTTCTACGTCTCCGAATCTTGAAGACTGGTGGCAAATTCAGTCGCTTATTGTTTCATGGATCATGAACTACATTGATCCCAGTCTGAGAACGACGATTTTTTCCTTCGAAGTTGCACGAACGCTCTAGCTGGATCTTCAAGAGCATATTTCAGTTGTTAATGGCCCTCGCATCCAACGATTAAAGGTCATGCTTGCGGACACTAAGCAGTAAGGTCTTACGAAGAATCTGGGAGGAGCTTGTTGATTATGATCAGTCACCTACTTGTACGTGTGGTCTATGCACTTATCGGCTCGAAGTCGCATGGGAAAAATGCCGTGAAATCGAGAAAGTCTACCAATTCCTTCTCGATCTCGACAACACCCTCTATAGCACCGTTTGTTCTACTCTTTTGGCACAAGATCCTCTTCCAATACTTAACAAGGTATATTCCACGTTAGTTCAAGAGGAAATGGCGCTGAAAATGACTCAAAGTCAGCCCACTTCTCCACCGAAAGTCATGAGTTTCGCCGTCAAAGCCTCTTTGAAAGCACTGTCTCGCGTTTCTGTCACCGGCTCCAAACTCTGTTCTCATTGTCAACGTACTGGACATGAGGCTGCGGGGTGCTTTCTGGTTGTTCCTTGTCAGCATTGCAATCGGCCCGGCCATGATCCTAAAAACTGTTTTGAAGTAATCGGCTATTCGGAGTGGTGGCTGCAAAATGCAGCCGGTAGCAGCCTTGGCAGGAGTGCTGGTCGTGGGTCTGGCCGTGGTTTCTCCCGTGGTTCAGGTCGCGGTGCTGGTCGGGTTGCTGACGGAGGTCCTTCGGGTCGCAACGCGAGTTTTCCTGGGGCTGTATCTGCGCCTATTTCTTCAGGTAGTACGGTCGCAGATGGCAATTCGGTTGTTGCTGATTTTCTCAAAGCCGTTGCAACCGGTTTGTCCCAAGAACAATGGGATTCGGTGATGAGTTTTGTCAACTCCAAGAAATCAGCTTCGGTTGAACATTTGACTGGTAAGTTTTCCTCCAATGATTAGATGTATGATTCCGGTGCTACTTATCATATGACCGGCTTTGTCTCCTTTTTAGTTGATGGTCGTGAAATTTCTCCTCGCCCAGTGCGGTTACCAAATGATATTTTGACCATGGCTATGCAAGTTGGGACTGCTCATCTCAGTCGTCATATTATTTTACGCTCAATCACCATAGATGCATCCGCTAAGTTATTAAAAATATTAATAACGTCATTCTCTATAACAAACTTACTTGTCCAAAACACATTCAGAATGTATGGGCCGTTAAACGCTATTTACATTTGTTGATTAAACAAACAATCATTTGTCAAATATTATGAACAATTTATCTGAATAAACCTAAACCCTAAACACAAAGAAACAACACGCTAAACCCCAAACTCTTACAATTCAAACAATGAATTGTAAATAAACAACACCTAATTAAACCCTAAACTCAAACCAATCAACAATGGTTTTACATAACATCTTTATTTATCCACAACAATATATTAGCCATTATAGAGACTAAAATCTCAAAAAATACACAAAATTTCAAATTTATCATTTTCAACACCACGTGCATATCCATACATTCTCAAATAAAAGCTCGCATAAAACATCACATTTCTTATACAAAATGGCAATAAATCAAAATTTTCATAGTCTATAAATAATGGTTTTATGAAAACTATATGAATCACATAAAACATCACTCATTCTATTCAAAAACTATAAGAATCATCATTAACCTCTTTTTGATGACGATTCAAGACTTTACTTCCGATAATCTTTGGAGAAAATTCCCTATTCGCCGCCCAAAGAACCCAATTACACAAAAAACTCAACAAAATTTCGTTCTGTAAACGGTAAAACCCGTTTTTCACTCTTTTATAATAAATTAAAACCGGATTTTGGGAATTCGATTTTACAACAAAAACAGAATCACAGAATCCGAATTAATAATAACCGGATTTGGAAAATATGAATTCAAATTAAAATCAGATTCTAGTAATCAGGTTTTAGTAAATTCGGATTTTTCCAATCCGTTGAAATTTTTTGTTTTTGCCTACTCCAATCTACCATAAGAAATATAAATTGGATTTGGAGAATCCAACTTTATTTCAAAAATTTCCCGTGCATAACTGCTAGATTTTTCCGGGATTTTATTTATTTTTTGATATTTAATATAAATCGGATTTCACTAATCTGATTTGTTATTTTTTAATTTCTGTCTTTTTGAAATTACAGGAAAATAAGGAAAATAAAAAGAAAATAATATTTTAATAAAAAAATAAAAGTCGGATTTGATGAATCTGATTTACTAATTTAAATTAAGAAAACGGATTTTTGGAATCCGATATGCTTAGAAAATGTCCACCTGCTTCAGCGAAGCCTAGCTATGTCTACTCTCAGTCTAGAAGCATTTTTTAGGTCAACCACCCATATCAACTATATCATGCTTCATCCATGATGTAATTGTAATTGTAGAATGTAAATTCATCTTAGCTGAGTTTTTTTTTTCATTTTTTTTCCCTGATCAAATTCAGTTTCTTTCGTTGTTGATCATGACGAACAACATGCTCGATGATTCTTCTCATTCTGGTGAAAAGACAGTTACTCCCAGTAAGGGCCTTGTCCGCCGCAAAATTATTTCTCCTTATGATCTTTCTTCCAATGATCAACCCGGCATTTCTATTACTCAAGTTGTTTTGAAAGGTGATAATTACGTTGAGTGGTCTGCTGCCATTCGTACAGCCCTTCGTGCTCGAAAAAAATTTGGTTTCATGAATGGTAAAATCCCGCCACCTTCTTCTACGTGTCCGGATCTTGAAGACTGGTGGTAGATTCAGTCGCTTATTGTTTCATGGATCATGAACTACATTGATCCCAGTATGAGAACGACGATTTCTTCCTTCGAAGTTGCACGAACGCTCTGGCTGGATTTTCAAGAGCGTTTTTCAATTGTTAATGGCCCTCGCATCCAACGATTAAAGGCCACGCTTGCAGACACTAAGCAGTAAGGTCTTACGAAGAATCTGGGAGGAGCTTGCTGATTATGATCGGTCACCTACTTGTACGTGTGGTCTATGCACTTGCCGGCTCGAAGTCGCATGGGAAAAATGCCGTGAAATCAAAAAAGTCCACCAATTCCTTCTCGATCTCGACAACACCCTCTATAGCACCGTTCGTTCTACTCTTTTGGCAGAAGATCCTCTTCCAACACTCAACAAGGTGTATTCCATGTTAGTTCAGGAGGAAAGGGCGCTGAAAATGACTCAAAGTCAGCCCACTTCTCCACCGAAAGTCATGAGTTTTGCCCTCAAAGCCTTTTCGAAAGCACTGTCTCGCGTTTCTGTCACTGGCCCCAAACTCTGTTCTCATTGTCAACGTACTGGACATGAGGCTGCGGGATGCTTTCTGGTTGTTCCTTGTCAGCATTGCAATCGGTCCGGCCATGATCCTAAAAAATGTTTTTAAGTAATCGGCTATTCGGAGTGGTGGCCGCAAAATGCAGCCGGTAGCAGCCTTGGCAGGGGTGCTGGTCGTGGGTGTGGCCATGGTTTCTCCCGTGGTTCAGGTCGCGGTGCTGGTCGGGTTGCTAACGGAGGTTCTTCGGGTCGCAACGCGAGTTTTGCTGAGGATGTATCCGCGCCTATTTCTTCGGGTAGTACGGTCGCGGATGGCAATTCGGCTGTTGCTAATTTTCTCAAAGCCGTTGCAACTGGTTTGTCCCAAGAATAATGGGATTCGGTGATGAGTTTTGTCAACTCCAAGAAATCAGCTTCGGTTGAACATTTGACTGGTAAGTTTTCCTCCAATGATTAGATGTACGATTCCGGTGCTACTTATCTTATGACCGTCTTTGTCTCCTTTTTAGTTGATGTTCGTTAAATTTCTCCTCGCCCAG